CGATCCTAAGAAAGACTCTTTGAAGCACATTTTGAAGATAAGCACAAATGGGTTAACAGGGATTACCAAGGAATAAGACCCTCAGAATTAAATACCCACTGGCAATGCACACTGGCAGGAATTTCCAGGCTTCACCAATAGCAGTCAAGTTAGTCCTGCTTGGGCACAGACATAAAATGTCAAATAGACATATCATAGTTCTTTCTGGGTGCCATAGATGAAACGAAAAGTGCCTGAGATTTGCTCACCTGGCTAATAACCAGCCAGAATAGAGAACAGATTTTTTTCATAGCAGATGTGATAATGTCTGCACCCCAGTATCACTAAAGTTGTTTTATGCTACTGGAACAATGGAAAACAGCCTAAGACCAGATAGGAATATAATTTAGATCTTCTTTCACTCCTAAAACAGTGTGGAAGGGTTTTTGAGAAGATCAGATCTGGCATCAGGACAGAAAATACAGTCACTGTACAAGCGATCGTTCTTTCCATGCAACACTGATAGCATATAAAATCAGACAGATCTGTCACTTCCCCCTCCTCTCCTTTAATTCATGCCAGGTTCCTCTTGATTAAGCAATAATGTGAAATATTGCAACAAGGAAAAGCTGGAGATCCCCAAGGGAAGACAAGTGTGTACTGCAGCTTGTCATTTTTATAGCCACATCCGCCTTTTGGTCAGATTGCTACCTACAAGTGCTTCATTTACTTTTCAGGAAAAAAAGTTATGACTGTTTCCAGCAATTGCACTTATCAGCCACTTCTTTGCCAAGAGTTTCTGTTTGTCTCCCAAGCACTAGGGAACATTGTTTTGTTTGTATTCAATGGTAAAACATGAATTAAGGGACAATCCTTCTTTTTTTTTTGCCTAGGAGTAAGGATACACCCTTCAGAAACTTACCACAGGCTAATGGGGGAGAGGTTAAATGGAGGGATCACTTTTAAGTGTTAGTGGTCTTTCTGTGTTCTCAGGACCTTAGAAAGAAAGTGCTTAGGAAAGGAAGAGATAGTGGAAGTAAACCCCTACAAATGCTATCAGAAATGGGCAAATGGTATCATTACTGCAATATTTTTTTTCACAAGTTTTTTAATTCCTCCCTAGCACAAGAATAGAAACAGAAAGTAGGATATGGCACAATGAGGGCAATTCATGGCAAATTTTAGAGCATGACAAGTCAGGAAGTTCAGGAGATCATAAAAAGTGGAACATGTTAAGTTTTTAGGGTTCTTTTTAAAAAACTATAAATCTCATATACAAAGACTGAAATGCTTGAAAACATGAGGATTCACTCAAAAAGACTCAAGGGTAATGCTTTAACCAACTATACGGTAGTATAGTTTAACCAAAGTGAAATGTGAATGTCTATTACCTGTCCGTCTTTTCCTCCGAAGGGTTTATTCAATGCGTAGGACAACAGGAATAAACAAGAGCAGGCATCAGGCCAGGCCAGGAACACAGTTCCTTAATAAGGATTTCTTAAGGTCAGAGACACAGAAACGAAGAACTGATCAGGCACAGCCATATACCAAGGCAAAGCAGCTAGGAACACAAATGGAGGCAGAGAACTTTCTGGATGAGTATCCATTCCCAGTATCACCTGCAAGTTTATGCACTGAAGGATGAGTCAGGCCACTTCCAAGTATGTCCTAGGTATTTGTCTCAGATGAAACTAACCATGAATTAATCCATGTTTCAGAATAAAATCGTGGATGTTTTCAAAATCTAGGGACATTTGTTATTTTTCTTAAATTTTATATGTGCTTTGAAAGTAACATTTTCTTTATGCCTGTGTGGGAGGATGATAAACAATCCCTGGGAAATAATATGATAGCAGAACAAGTGAAGACAAAGACATACAAAAATATAGTTTTAGCTAGATGATTAATTAGCAAGTAATAGAACATTGAAAAAATCCTTACTTTGTCTCCTTTTCATGAAACATAAGGGGTGTTTTGTTTATGCACATCTTACACTAATCCAGGTATCATTTCTGGAGATGAACAGAACCCTTGCTCCTTTAAAGAAGTGGATGAAAGGTCCAGAGGTGCCATGGTCCAAACTTTAAAACCAGTGGGAGTTTTCCATCGATTATAGTAAATCTTCTAACAAATCCAATATGCCAAATGCATCATATATAAAACAATGTGATCACAGAGACAATTAACATTTATTTATTTATTGACGAATCTATTAAACAGAGGTATGATTTTACAGTTCAGCATCAGAAAGTCTCATAGAATCACAGGATCACAGAATGGTTGAGGTTGGGAGGGACCACTGGAGATCGTCTAGTCCAACCCTCTGGCTCAAGCAGGGATCAAATAATACTTTCCTGCCCACAAGGAGTTCTGGGCATTTTTTTCCTATTATTTCAAATAAATGATATATGTGAAAAAGTGATCCTTCCAAGGACATCAGACTTGAATAAAATGAAACCCATGCCAGTCCTTGACAGATGTTTACTTGAACACAACTTCAAATGAACAATAACAGCCATACTCTTAGTATGACTTTATTGTGTGATTCTTGGTACGTCCCAATTTCATCTGGATACAAGAAGAGAAAATACTGAAATACTATGAGAAACTCTTTATTAGTATTATTGTGTTATTTTAATTTTTAAAAAACATTAAGCTGTGAATTGTGACTGGTGCAGCTGGTGGATATGGAAAGACAATGGAAGCTTCCTGGTTTATTGGCTGTCATTATGTTATGTTTGAATCGCCTTTCTTTCCTTGCATGTGTTAAAACTTCACGTGAAGTAGAGCAATGTGAAATCTAAAATTAAACTGCCTTGTTTACAATGGGGAGTAGGGGAAGGAGGTGGGGCAGCTATTTATTGCTAAAGATAGATGTTAAGACCCATAGCTCCTTAGATTGTCTATCAACCCAACGGAGATGCAGGGGTTCCTCCAGGGACTAATTCAAATGAGCTTGCTTAGACTTCTTCTAAACTATGTTGTACTGGTGCACAGAAAAAAAACAGAGAGTCTTTGTCAGCTGTCCAAAGCACAGCATGGGTATGTCTGCACTGCTGATGTCCTCTGTCGCAGGGCTGCTGGCTGGTCCTTGGACCAAACGGTCCCAAGAAAACCACCTTCACCTTGCTCAACTTTGCTCAGGAAATGTTTGAAAGCTAGTTGAGATGGCCCAAAAGTGTTCCAGGAAGTGCTTCACCATCAGAAGGGAGTAGACAACCATGTCCCCATGGTAGGGAATGTTCTCCTGCACTTTTTCATCCACTACCATTTGCACAGCCACTCTGTGCAACTGTTTCACATGCCATGGGTTTCACGGGAGGGTGGATCCTAGGACCATGGCAGGTGGTCCCCAGCTAATCTGTGGAAGCATCTGCCTTTTATTATACTTTCCTGTTAGAATGTGATAAATTTGCAGGCTCATCTCCAGGAAACACCAGGGCACAGATATGGTCTATTTGTCCAAAGGTCAGGAACTACTAACACATACATGAGGGGAGCTGTTTTAAACAAGCCCATTCAAGGCTTCCTCTTCAATTCAGGGAGAGTTTGCAGAGATTCCTGGTGACTTCATGTAAACAGTGGACACTTGTCCACTTGCCATTTGTTAGTGGGACTTGATACCTGCTGCTTCATACTTTTGGTTTCTCTATTGGGTACCCTCCAAATATTCTAATGGAATGTTGCTAACTTTTAAGTGTGTTTATCCAGTCCAAAACAAAACTATTTGTGCCAAGCATGGGGAAATTACTAGTAGCTACGGCCTTACACTGTTTAGAAACTGCTATTCTTAGATCAGGATCTAAGTAGTACAAAAACACTTTAAAAACATCATTAAGATTCTTGTAAAAGAAAGGGGATTGGATGGGTTTGAGCCTGGTATTTTGCTATGATGTTTTCACTTAATTTCTAAGAATATTTACTACAAGCTGACAGCAAGTTTAAACATTATCACCATGAATAAATATGCTAACAAACAGCAAGTCATTTATTTTGACTTATTTGGGTTTTTTCTTCACCAGTGAAACAATTATTGTGTGTCTTTGCTTCTATTTAATTTTGTTACTGAGATGATCACAAGCAGCAACTATCGCAGCTAATATGAGATCCATCATACACCAAACAGAAAGCCGGAATCACTTGTTTCAGGAAGTTTTGGATTTTGAAGGGTAGAAAACATTTGAAGATGTTGCTCTGCACAGGAAGTAGACCAAAGAACATGATGTGAATTTCCAGCTTCTCCATTACTGCAAGTGTTAGATTACCTGCATCTTGCTGCAGTAAACTTTTTACTTTTAGTGATTTGTCCAGCTGTTTTGGATGATAAATTCTGTGGTGAAAAAAAGGGTTATTTCTGAGTATTGGGTACACTAGGACACCAGGAAATAAAGCTGAAAAAAGATTCTGGGGAAAAAAACAAACAAACAAACAAAAACAAACACACACACAGGTGCTCCATGCTGCTCCATCTCTAAATTTGTTTTTGATGGAGCTTACCTCCAGATGAGGGCAAGCTTTATCTGCTCTAAACTATTGAAAAGCTTGCTTTCCCCCAAAAGTGGCATCAAAAGAAAGAAACAGTCAAGAATGGAAAAGAACAAATATTCTCAACCCACTCATCCTAGAGGATGCTACAGGAAATGAAATTGTATTATGTTGCAAGGCAGGTTAAAAAATCAAGATTCGCAAGCAATTAATGTGTTAGCACAACTGATTTTGTTTATTTTTCAGCCACGCCAAAATCCAATCATGCCATATTTACATTAGCAATACATGGAATCATGTAGGCAACAAAGAAAAAAAAAAGTATTATTTTGTTTTTTTTTTTGCTGGTGTTTGTTTTTGTCTTTGTTTTGATTGTGCATCACTCAAGTTGATGAAATGATCTAACCCATTCAAATCTTTCTGGGCTCTCATGTTCACACTATCTCTTTGAAAAAGAGACATCCATCAGACTATCCCTTGCCTGAATGGTAAGTGTATATATAACTTTTCACATAGGTTTCTCCAGGCCTCATTTCTTATGTAAAATTGTTTAGTGCAGAACTGCTTAGTGTATCATCAGCACCAATTTGCTTTAGCTATATCCTACAGTTAGTATAAAAGACCAGCTACTCCTATAGGTTATTCAGAAAATAGAAAGTAGCACACACACAAAAACAACCACAGAAAATAGTCACCCACTTTGTTTAGAATTGTTAGTTTTCTTCATGTTTCCAGTGTCATTTATTTTGCTAAACACTTCTGTTACTCTTTCCATTTATCTTCTGCTCTTATTTTCTTACAAAACAGTATACTTGGCTTTCTGTATAAAACACATATATAAACAATTATATATATATATATAAAAGAACCCCCAAATGGACTTGCACACAAATATTTATTTGCCCCTCATTAGAAAGCATACTTCATGCATATTTAGCCATTACCCCTGAATTTCATAGTACTAGCTATCAAAATGGGGTCAAGAAGAAAAGGGCCTTTTTCTTCCTGTCTTGCTTTAAAAGACTGAGTTAAATTATGTAAGATGAACGAAGGCAGAGGAGGCCAAGGAACAAGCAGGTCCTGTTTACATATTGGCAGCAGGTTGTTCTTGTTGCCGTTATTATCACTGCTCTCCAAATTGACTTCTAGTTATTACTTCCCAGGAATTCATATCATTTATTGTTGTTGTTGTTGTTGCTATTTATTCTTTATTCTCATAATGGCTGCATGCAGGTTTAGGGAGAATGAAATATTGGAAGATGTAAATGGATTCTGGGTTTTTTTAGATTTTTGGCCTGCTTAACAACATTTCTTGTGTCTCTCTTGGAGGTCATCAATAATATAGAAAACTAGGATTTATTGGACATAACAAATAGTTTTTAGTGGCTTTTCTTTTCCAAGAGTGCTTTGGGGCAATAATTAGAGATAATTTTCACACTTACTGCTGGTTTTCTCCTCGTATTTTTGGCAAAAAATACTTTTTCCGGTATTGGTTATAAAAACACCATCATTAGCACAGATGGCTCTTTGTCCTAGATATCTTTTTTTTCAGCAAGCAGACCCATCTATTGAGCTATTTATCATTGCTGAGTGATGCGCTGAAGAACAACCCGCACTATTCCCACCAGAAAACGTGGTGGTGGTGAAGGAAGTGTTGCATTTTAATCCCATTTATCTAGCTCAAGCACAAAAGTCTGACGACTTACTGGCCTGAAAACTATGTAATGGAAATGCCCCAGATATAAAAATGTTATAAAGATTGGGGGCAAAAAGAAATGGAAAACCATATTGAATTAAAAATAATAAAAATTACTGCTTGCTGGTTTACACAGAGTCTATAACACTGACAAAATCTTCAGAAATCAATGTGCTTTTTTGTTTTTCTCCCCCCTTTGTCCTTCTTTATTTTGGCTTCATTTCAACCCTGGAGTTCATATCTTCTCCTTCCAGATCATACTCCTCTACTTGGCCGCTGGTCCACACCTTCACGCGGTCGGTCAGGTCGCTGCTTCTGGGAGCCAGGATGAAGTCGTAAATGAGGGCAGCACTTGCTCCTCCAATAATTGGGCCAACCCAGAAGATCTGAAACACATTGCCAGGCCCAATTAGTACTTCAGCATGTTAGCATGTTTAAAGCTGTTCTGAAAAACCTCCTCCAATTTTCTGCACAAAATGTACTGTGAAAATAGGCGATTACCTGATCATTAATTTAACTGCATGGGCAAGAAGCCAAGAATTTCTCACTAGATGCTAGTAGAAGGCTCAGAAATGAATAGTTGTGACTTCATTGTTAAGTCTGGGGATTAAAAATGAGACATCTACTACGAAAACATCTCTGCTACTCAAGTTACATTTTACTCAGAAGCATTGAGTGTATTAAATTCCTTTCTCCCACTAACTTGCATTGGTACCTGGGGGAACTTGAAAGTAATACTTTGTGATAACCTAATTAAGGGCATCATTAACTACTAGTTACTCTTTAGTTAGTGATATTCTTATACCTTCTAGTCTAATCACATAAAGCAAGCAAAGTTTGCAGGGAGAGATAGTAAATGTAAAGATTGTTGTTATTAGGAATAACGTGTGATTTTGAAGGATCGGTTGGTCAGAAATCTGAGTCTGAAAATGCTTTTACTTTCTTTTCCCAGTAATGTCATTATTTTAATGTTAATTACATACAATATATGCATATATTAACTCTCTCTCCTGCTTTCTCTCTGTTCCTCCGAAGGCAAACAATTTTTCTACACAGTTTTGAAAATACTAACTTAGATCTATTAACTCAGTAACTCAGTAGAAGTTTGTAAGTGTGAAAGAAATGACAAAATTTCCCCAGTTCTCTCATTTTGTTTTAGATTGAAATGACACATTTCCAAAATTTGCATAGTCCAATTATACTATCACTGAATTTCCATGAATATTTATTGAAATGGTTGAAAAAGTCTTGAGTAGGAGAGTTGGAAAAAGCTACATTTTAAATACTGAAGAGCATGTGCTCATTCAGGACTTTTATGTCAGTTTTAGCCTAGTTTAGTGAGTTTTAGTGAAATAAGTAAACTTTCATAAGATTCTTCATTTTGATGATAGAGAATAATTTTAAAATCAGTATTATTTCCAGTGCACTTAACCATAAAAGCACGTAAGTAGATGTTTAAGCAGATGAATATTTTATTAGCTTCCAAATCTTTAATGATCCTCTTCTTGAGAGCCTTCCAAAAGTAGGTGTACTAAGCAGTAGCAATTTACAAACTCAATTTAAACAATAAATACCCAAAACAAGATTCTTTGCAATGAGGCTTTACAGTTTAAAACAAGTAAAATCATTAAATGTAAAGGGAATTAATCAAATAAAACCTGTGCTGCTGTACGGTACCTGCACCGCAGCTATACTATCTGGAACACAACTTGAGGATGTTGTGATCTCCTGGGTTTAGTCAGGACCAGTAGGAGACTTATTTTTGGAAGGAGAATTATTTTTGCTAAATATAATAGAAATGGCACCCCATTAATTCATTGCTGTGTTTATATGTTGTTTATATGTTCCTGATCTTGCAGCTGGACATATGTAGACTGTCTTATAAGCTAAACCAATTTCTTCAACTTACCCAATGATTTTCAAAATTGTTGGCAATCAGCGCTGAGCCAAATGATCTTGCTGGGTTAATTCCACAGCCGGTGTAATCAATCTAGGAGGTGGAAAGAGAACCAGGGTAACATATAGATGCAGATTTGGCATCTGCATTAACGGGACATGATAGTGTACACGTTGCAGCCCAGATCAGATGTACAGAAGAAGTTTGTCCACCCCATCAAGTTCTTCTCAGAAATATACTGTTTGCACAGTGCTTGTTCTGTCCTAGTAAGTAAATGGGTTTGACTACAGCAACTCCTTCCCCGTCAGTGCAACCTCATCAGTTATAACTTAGACACATGGCCCAAGGGAGATGGGCTAGGCATATTGCATAAACAAGGCCACGTTCCAAAGGAGAGGGAGTATTAAGTTCTGCCAATCATCTAGCTGACTTCACTGCAATATGAGATGCAATATTGCATATTCCACTGTGAGAAGGAAAACTTACGGCAAGAAGGTGTCCCAAGGCAACAGAGAGTCCAATGGCCAGTGGTGCTGATCCTGAGACATCATTCCTTCTCCGATCTGTGGTGGCGAGGACACACAACACCAGCTGAAGGGTAGCAATGATTTCAATACCTAATCCTTGGCCTGCATTGATTCCATCTGAAAGCTGGATGGAGACAAGGAGAAAAAAATGTTACATGTTATTCCTACCTGCCTTTGATCAAATATAATAAACCTCATGAGACCTGGTGACTTCTTTTTTTGTCCTCAGATTGCTTTTTCTTAATAAAAAGAGAAGGTAAAGAGAAATAAGCTGAAACACTCTTTGCTCTACCCAAGTGTGGATGGATTCAAACTTGCTGATGTAACACGATAGCTGTTACATCATGACGGCATTTAACAGCCAAGGTAAATGCTGCACCACTAGATACAAGGAGAATATAAGCAATGTATATGCGAGCAACAAAGGACCCAGAGATTTGCTTTCAGAAGTTTCCTTCTAGATGTGAACTGTTCTTCTTCTGAGAACAAGGATGCTGTGGTCAGATTAAACATTGCTCAAAATTTATTTAACAGCAACTAACAAGTAAACTTGAGGAAGACAGGGGAAGGGATAAAAAGAGATCAAGAAAGGAGCACAGCTCTGGGTAGCTTAAATGTGTCTCTGCTATGTGCAAATTACAATAATCTCTTCTCCCACCATTTTTTTAATTTCTTTTTTTGTTGTTGTTTTCTTTAATTAAACATGAATTCTTCAAAGCAAGAAGCAATGCGCAGGCCCCATGAGCAGATTTTGTCTTAAATATTAAGATATCTGTAATATGATTCAATTACCTGAAGATGTGCATCTAATGGTATTTGAGATGTCATGATAGATGTGAGGATGCTACAAGTATCACAAGACCTACAGAAGACCAGAGATATCTGAAATGACTCTAGATGCCAATGTTTGTGCAGTGTTTCTCTAAATTTGGACATCCATACAATATAGTCAGTAGAGATAAGTGCCATTCAGATGATTGGATGGAGGTGATCATTTGAAAGTGAACTGATTACATTTTTGCCTTTCATTGACTCCATTGACTAGATCTCATTTGACTATAGGAAAAGCCTAGACCACAAATTTTGCAGACCACACAGATTTTTTTGTGAGTAAGAAAAATACTGGATAGGAATTGTGAAGGGCTAAACAGGGAAGTAATTCAGTGTCCTAATGAAGTAAAGCAGGTTCTGCAGAGGAACTTGCACTGGTAAATACAGATATTCCAATTATGTAATTAATGTGAAAAAGTAGAGGCTATTATATGCATAGTTGCTGTAAAGCATATTGAAATTGCAGTTATACACCTGTATGAACATTATATAACAGAAATTTTGTTCTTTCAGGAGCACTGTTACAAACTTGTGTTTACCAAGTGACTGTGGATCTTGACCATTTAATATTATAACAGGACTGGAACTCTTCTTATAATTGCTATATTCAGTGGTATCTGAGTAAGAAAAGGCAAGTCTAGATCTGAGCTGAAGGCTCAGTGTTAAGCAGAAGTAACGTCACTGTATGCGGTATAGGATAAAGCATGAGGTTGGACACAGGCCAGAAAAACTGAGAATA